TTTTTAAAAAAAAAAAAAAAAAAAAAAAAAAAAAAAAAAAAAAAAAAAAAAAAAAAAACTATCGTAGTATTATGAATGGAAATTAACAAAAAAAAAAGAATTTTGAGAAAAGAAATAGAGTGTTGTTGATGGTTAATAATACAAAGGAAGGAACTCTTCCTTCTCTCTAGGAAGAAGGGTGAATAGTAAATCCGTTACTATTCATCGGCCATAACTTCGGAATCTAGCAGTGGATTTTCGCAAACTTGGTATCAAAAGATTCATTTTCTCTTTGCGCACAATCCCCAATTGGTTTCACCCTCAAATCCCTAGCCAATTGTTACAGATCTACAAATTGGTTCGTCCATTACTGTAGCAAAATAGTGTATCTGGGCAGCTTCTTCTTTTCTGTGCGATGTAGTGTTGAAACTTTTGCGTAATAGAGCCCTTCCATGGCAGCCAACGTCTCTCCCCAGCCAAAGGCTGTGGGAGAGTAGAATCCAAACTCAAAGTTCCTACGATTCAATTTTCCATGGATGAACGTGAAGAATTTGCAAAGGAGGAAGGATTACATCAAGCAGTGATGATAAAACTGTCCAGCGACGCACCAAATTTACAGATATTAAAGAGTATTCTGCCAAAAATCTTTGGTATCAAAGGTAATTGCTTGTTCGGTTCTTTGGCTCCACGACAAATTTTAATTCGTTGTGATCAATATGAAGATTATGTTGCTTGTTTGGCAAGAGCTGTAAACTATTTTCAACATAATGGAAGGGAGCATCAATATAGAGTTTTCCTATGGAGTGTTGGATATAATCCAAACTAGGAAACTTCGAAGGTGGCTATTTGGATTTCTTTGCCGAATTTGTCGCCTGAACTGTTTGCTCGTAAGCCTTTATTGTCCATTGTGGCTGCTATTGGAAAACCAATCGCAATTGATAAGGCAACACAAGTTAGATCTCGTCCTAGCACGGCAAGAGTCAAGGTTATCATTGATTTACTTGACAAACTTCCTGAAAAGATCAGGCTTCAATATCTTGATGTTAAAACTGGTAAGATTGTTGAGGATTACTAGGAAATTATCTATGATAATTTGCCTTCGTATTGCGGCCATTGTAAGCATCAATGACACGAAGAAAATCAATGTCGGGGCTTAAAAGGAAAGGCAGTTCAAGCAGCTCGTGTTTGTGATGATAATGAGCATCAAATAGTTGAAAAATTGCAGGGTGATGCAAGAGATTTTTTGAATGCTAAGAGAGCTGGGCAACAACTTATAGAAGGATCAGAAAATGATAAGAATGCTAGGCAGCAGGTGTGTGATGATTTGAGTAAAAGGGCAGATGCAACAGGTGTTAGAGGTGTTGTGCAAGTAGAAAAAACTGATGTTAATATCCCTGATGGTGCACAGATTCTCAGCAATTCTGGGATCTCAAAGAGTGTCGCTATTGTTCCTGTCGATCGTGCCTTAGCTAGGATATCTCAAGCTATGTCTGTAGAAGCAGGAAATAAGGTGTTCAAAGATCGAGGGAATGGCAGTAGTATAGGGACAGTAGCGGGTGGTGATCGACCTATTAATGGTACAGGTGAACAAGCTGATAATACAGCAGGATACAAAGCTATTATTGTGAATGAGGAGGGGCAGGAACATGTAAGTACTGAGGCCTTGGAGTGTGCTGATTCTACGGCCTGTAAGGCTGTGAATATGAAAAATTCAGTTGCAGGTGTACAAGCTAATACTGGAGCTTTGAAACCTACAGCTCCTTTGAAACATACTGCTAGGACTCTGGAAAATAGTAATGATCGAGTTGTTACTTCAAAAAAAACTGGTGTGGAAACTACTATTGAGGTAAATCATGTAAATGTTATGGAGTTGGAATATGCAGCTTCAACAGGGTATAAAGTGGTGAATGTACAAACTAAACAACTTCAAGTCTCAGTTGCGGGGATGGCTAATACTACTGCTGATCGAGAAACCAAGGCCACAAATAATGCAACAGATGTAGTAGTAGGACATGTTGTTCAATCTGGAATTGAAGCAGTTGCTATATGTTCAACGTTGGAGTCTACTGTTGTATTGACTGCATCGGGGGATCGACATTTGGTTGGGGCTCCTAAAACTACAGCTGTATTTGTTAATTTTGCTGAAAAACCAATAGGTAACGTGCAGAAAGAAAGGTATATGGTTGGGCAACAGGAAAACCAAGGAACTTCTACACAAAATAATATGCAATAGGAGTTTTTGAATCAAGCAAACATTGCTAATAACCAACTAAAGGTAGCAGGGGCAGGACATAGTGGTGGTGTAGGTGCACATTCGGAGTCTACTACTGCATTGAAAACAACTGTTGATCGTGTTGCTGCACTGGTTGAACCAGTTGAGAAATCAGCAGCAGCAGGTACAACTCCTGTAGATGTATCTACTGCTGTTTTAGTTCTAGCTGAAATTGTTTCAACACCTACTGATGCTGGACAAGATACAAAGGAAGCTGGGTAGCAAATTAGTAAGAATAACTGGACAACGGTTTCCAGCAAAAAAGGCACTCCAAATAGAAAAAAAATGATTCAGGTTGAGCAGATTTTGAGAAATTGTGTGAATCCTTTCAATGCACTAGCCAACGTGAATGACTACCATGAGAAGATTGGGAACACAATATCCTTAAATGATGGTTCTTTTAACCAACAAATAGTCCCAATTGATAGCTCTTTCCTTAAATGATGGTTCATATCCTTAAATGATGGTTCTTTCCGGAGAGCGACAAAATGCTATAAATAGCAGTGTAGTAGAAGTGTCAAAGGGCGAGCTTGTACCAAGGTCCAGCACTCTTACGATTCTTTTTTCCAGTTCCCAAGTGGAAAACATTATCAAACAGGCCCAGGCAGAAATGGTAATGAACACCACCTTGGTTAAACAACCAATGGTGACTTTGAACACATCCGTGTTTGATGTCCCTTCTCAGTCAGTAGAGTCTTTTGGGGAGTTCAAAGGTGAATCTGGGCAGCTTGTCCTGTCAACTGGGAACAACAATGAGGTTATCCAACAAAAGGTAAAGGAAATGGCTATCAATTCTAAGTTGTGGCGTGAACAACGAGAGGAGGAGGATGAAGAGGATTGGGGTGATGGGTTTGCTGGCTATTCTTCTGAAGAAGGTGAGCAGGAGGTTGATCAGGAGAGTGCAAGTGAGGAGATCGACCCTACAGTAAAGCCAAAACCTCATGAGGCAACAACATCAAGTCCCACGACCAAATTGAACATTCATGCTCCTATTTTCATCCCCAGAAATTCTCCTACTGCTGTTATGCCAGATGCAGCAGCTAGAAGGTTGGTTAGCGCTGCGTAAACATGTGCCAAGCAGACCACTCCAGGTGTTAATACAAGTCAAATTGTGATTACACCAACACTTAAAATGCAGCAGCAAC